AGGCTTTGGTGATCTGGCTACAGAGGAATTTGGGATTTGCCTTTCTTCCCAGAGTCTGAGTGAATTTCTCTCATTAAAGAGAGAATGAACGCAGAGAGCCAACTACCACTGTTTGGATGCTGGAGGGCTGACATTACTGAAACCTTCACACAGGTCCAAAGAGGAACCCCAGGTTCATTCCATGACTTATTGAAAGGCGCAGGTAGATGCATCTGTGAACACCAGTCTGTCAAAGGAATTGAGCTTTGAGAGTAAGATCTGTTGATTATAGATAAAAAATGGTGCAGCCTTGAGGGAGAAGCCACCTTTGAATCTACGCAAATCTCTCTGAAGGCTGTAAGCTCAGGACAGTAGGGCTGGGGAAAAATATTGCACTTGGAAAAGGTCTGAGGGGACTAGAAATGCCATCCAGAATTTTCCACAAGGTCCAGTTACTTGCAGAAACAGAACCTCTTTAATCCTGAGCCTGGCAACAACCAGGATAGCAATTTCCTTCATGCACTTTGATCCTGCATGAAGTCTGGACATCCAAAAAAGGCTGTTGCAGTTGCTATTAGAACCCCTCCCAATCCCTGGAGAAGTTAGTGGCCTGTGTAGGGGAGTCGCGGCCCAGAGACTTGAATCCAGGAAACTTGGCAGGGAAAGTGAAAATAAATGAATCTTCTAGAAGGTGTTCCTTACTGCTGGCAAAGGAAGAGGAACTCACCTGCTGCAAACCCAGGGACTGGTGGCCCAGTAAACCCAATGTCCTATGCTCTAGCTCCAGCAAGAGGTGAAGACAGACACCAACTAATTTCTGCATTTGCTGTCCAAGCTACTTTGCCCTGATTCAGCCTCCGGTGAGAGGTAGTTTCACTCGGAGGGGTGGGGGTTACAGGAACAGTGTCTGACAGTCCACACTCCCTGGGTTCTTTGAGTTTTATTTTGGGAATGGGTCTTTCCTTTTCACCTAGTTCTGCTTGGAACAACATCTCTTTACCTCTCTCAGGAAAGGCCTCATGGGCATATTCCTTTCTACAGGTGATGTGTGCAGCACACAACTTGTTGCCCTTTTGGTTGCATTGTTTTTCCTTCTGAACCACCTCTAGCACCCCTTAAGAATGGCAGCCTGCTTTTCTAGATATCTTGGAGCCCTTTCATTGGTTTCTGAAGATACCACAGTTCCTCTGGGGCTCTGCATTCTCCTGCTCCTGGTACTTCTGGTCAGTTACGGCATGACCTTGCCTTCTGCTCAGAAGAAATTGCTCGCTCAGGTAGCCTAAATTCCTGTGCAGGAGGGAGGGTGACACACAGTGTCTCTGAGGCCCCATCATTTAAAATATTTGAGCTAAGGGAGGTCCTGCCCTGCCTGTCCTACACACGCCTGCTTGTGGTAATGCGCTGAGATGCATGTCTGCAGAGGAGAGGGCCACTGGTAAGTAGTACTTTTTCTTGTTCAGTTCCCCATTGACTGTCTGAAATATGCCCTGTTGCTTATAAGGAGAGCAGAGATAGGAAACATCACACTGTCTTTGGGCCAGCACAACCTCTTTGTTCCCTTGGTTTTCCAAAAATGTCCCTTTGCTCCTCACCAAAATCATTTCATGTTTAAGGAAAACATCCCAGAAAGCATTTGTGCCCATTTTTGGATGACATGTCTGCCCACACACAAGCCATGAAATGAAGCAGAGAGCAGGTTTCATGGTGTGACAAGGCTGTGACCATTGCAATAAGCTGCTCGAGTAATGCCACACTTGTTTCCCCTCCCCTGACTGCAGTTGTACTATTGGTCACACACTGCTCTTTGTGGTCTCCTTCCAAGTTCTCTCTCGTCTCTCTTTCTAGAGAGTTGCTTTGCAGCACAGGGCGAATTGGTGTGGGTGTTTGAATGCTGCTGTTTGCTGTTTTTTAAAGGACTTCTAGCCCTCCCATGGGGTTACTGCAG